AGTGTATCACAGCTCAGGGGAAAAAAGCACCGAAATAAAGCACCGAAATGTGCGCTGCTTTTCAGTCTGGTTACTACCGTTTATGTCAGAACCGGTGCCATCATGGCACCGGACACCGGTACCCATCCCTAGTCCCAAGTGAAACTTTTCTCAAAATCAAGGAAACCAATTAGAGTACCACCATTAACAGTGCAATACACTGTTTATTGACATGGTGGTAAGTGCATTAGAGGGTTACCTAGGCAACTGGACTCTGGAATGTCCACTAAGAGCAAACCATCAGCAACATAAATATTTGTGGCAAGTGAAACGCGTCCTGTGTGGATTCTGCTGGAAAATCTGTGTCTGTATCTCTCTCTCTGGATTTGTATGTAGCCCTCAACAAGTTTCTCTCTTGTCTTTCTCTTTTTCTTTGACTTTGTTTTTTTTTTGTTTTTTTGTCAATCCTGCTCTGTCCAGGTGGACAACTCATCCCTTACTGGTGAATCAGAGCCCCAGACCAGGTCACCTGACTGTACCCATGACAACCCCCTGGAAACCCGAAACATTGCCTTCTTCTCTACCAACTGTGTTGAGGGTAAGTTTATCACCATTATCATTATCACCATTTTCCAACAGTCAATTACACCTTTATTCTAATATGATAATGTACATCAGAATCAGAATACTTTATTAATCCTGAAGGAAATTAGGGTTACAGCAGGCAGCACGCTAATGGCGCATGCGCACTTACAAAGGAACGTATGACCAACTTTACACAAACATCACATTGGGGAGACATGTCAGAAAGGTAGGCTGATAGGAAAAAACAACGAAAATACATAACATGAGGTAAGAGGAGGAGAAAAAAAATTCCACTCAGACTGAGCTCCTAGTGGGAGAACAGTTTGATAACAGAAACATACATAATATTGTACCTGTTGTTGGTTTTGGCGGGGGTTGTGTTGTGTTATTTTAACAAGATATGACCCAGGATTTCATTGCATTTCTTCATTTCCCACGGTGACAGTGAGTTAGATATGGAATGAGTGACTTCTCTGGTCATCAAAAGTAGATCTAGAAATGTGATCCTATTTAACCTTGTACCAGTTCCTTTCTAGTGGATCCTGTTGTAGCCATTGTATTATCAGCATTGCAGCAAAACGCATTATGAATCTCACAGTGTATTAATTGGAAAATAGTGAGATGTGGTGCCCTCTGGTGGACACGTTACATTCTTCACTACGTCTCCAATCATCATCACTCTGTCCGCTTGTTCATCTATATTATCACACTCTATTTATTTATTTTTTCGTTCTCTATTTTTTCCCCTGCAGCCAGTGTTGAAGTGCATATATTTTAAAACCATTCCCTCTGTTTTTCCAGGAACTGCACGTGGTATTGTTGTGTGTACTGGTGATCGCACAGTGATGGGACGCATTGCCACCCTCACTTCAGGTCTGGAGACTGGGAAGGTAAATATATTATATATAATAACTGCTCACATCCATTACAGCAAGAAACTAAAACCGTGTAACTATACACTCATTCACTAAAACTCTTGTAATATTATTTAAAGCCCATATATTGTCTTAGTTGTGTCTCCTTATCAGAAATTAAATCTCTTTGCAGTCAATTAAACATCTTCTTTTTTTATCCTCAGACACCCATTGCCAAGGAGATTGAGCACTTCATCCACATCATCACAGGCGTGGCTGTTTTCCTTGGCGTGACCTTCTTCATCCTCTCAATCATCCTGGGTTACTCCTGGCTGGAGGCTGTAATCTTCCTCATTGGTATCATTGTGGCTAATGTGCCCGAGGGACTGCTGGCCACAGTCACTGTGAGTTGGCAGAGAGATGTGAAACTAGTGGATGGTGCAATATGGAGTGTCTGTGTGTGTCCAAGATCCTTAGGTGTGGTTCAGGTTATTGTTTTTTTGTTTTTTTGTTTGTTTTTTAATTTGTCAATAAGGCTGAAATGTTAGGATTGGTAGTAGATGTGTGTGTCTGACATTGATTTGTCCAGACTTGGGTCAAACTGTAGCTTCACATAATATAAAATACAAAGAAATTAGATGAATCTTTGAAAACTTTTTGTATCATGAAACCTGTTTTTTCAAAAATTTTATTCCAACACTCACTGGTATTAAAAATAGTAACATTTCTCATTTTTAGTGTGTTAGTAAGTCACTCTAATATCGATTTTCTCACAGAGAGAAGGTAACAGACTAAAGGTGGTGTCACCAATCACACTCCTTGGGCTGTTAGCGGTTTAACTCACGTCTGAATGTGTGTTATTTACATTAGTTTCTGTTTTATTTTGTGTTGTTTCTGTGGTTTTTGGCTGGTGTTGTGTTGTGTGTGGTTTGATCATGTCTGTTTGCTTGTGTGCTCTCTGTGTGGTTTGATATTGTGATTGTTGTATTTCGTGCTTTAACATTCTCAGTTTGTTTCTGTGGTGAAATGTTGTGTCGCCTCTGTGTATTTGTCCTTTCATCTCCCACTTCCTCTCTCTTTCTATTAAAGGCAGTCCCATATGCGTTTGTGTGTCTCTCTCCATCTTCCTTTTCGTGTGTCTCTCTCTTTTCCAGGCCAGTGGCGGTGCTGTCTGCAATGACAAGGACTAGCTAATGTAATGACATTAGGCAAATGTTTCTCAGCACCATGAACTGAATTTAGGCCTCCTGTGCTTGGCCTTGGCTAGTTTGACCCACTGGTCTTGCCATACTTGGCATGGTACCATAATGCACTGCTGCTCTGCTTCACAGCATCGCTCTTTCATGCTTCATGTTCTCTCTGCACTGCTTGTTGGGCTGTGTTTTTATATCCTGACAGGACTTTTCTGTTCTTATTGCATTGTTATGTATAGAGTGCTATGTTGGTGAGCAGAATGAACGTTTCCAGGCATCTGGGTGGTTGTAAGTTCCTAGTTGGGGTTATGTGTTTCAGGTTGTTGGCAGAAATTAGTTAAGTGTCTGGAGATGCTCATCTGTTCTTTTAGTTTACAACATAGATACTAATTGTATTTTTCTCTCTCTTTCTCATTGATTTTATCCATTTGTTTGTGACGATCATCAACAACTCTTTCCCACTTGTTTTCTTTCTTTCTCTCCCTCTCACTTTGCCTTTGATGCCTTTCCTCTGCCACTCCCATTTCCTCCTTGTTTTTGTCTCCTGCTTCATCACTCTCCTCCAGGTGTGTCTGACACTGACTGCCAAGCGAATGGCTCGCAAGAACTGTCTGGTAAAGAACTTGGAGGCTGTGGAAACTCTGGGCTCCACCTCCACCATCTGCTCTGATAAGACAGGCACCCTGACCCAGAACAGGATGACCGTGGCCCACATGTGGTTTGACAATCAGATTCATGAAGCTGACACGACTGAGGATCAGTCTGGTGAGATTTTGTTCTCTTTTTATTTAGTAAGCATTAAATGTGTGCCTCCATGCAGTATATATTAAGTAAAGTGCAAATAAACAGGATTGTGAAATGTGTGGATTTTAAAGGGCGCGAACAAAAAAGCTTCCCTTAAATATAGCAAACCAGTCACCGTGTGCAGATACACTGCCTCCAGTGCTCCTGCCATGCTTGTACTACCGTTTTGTAAGCTGATTGAGCACCATCTGCAGTTCATACTGAATCTTAGAAACTCTTAAAATGGTGAACCTGAACTTGGACGTGTCTGAACATTTTAATCACACCTTGTATTCAGTAGTTTTTAATCTGTTTTTGTGCTTTGAAAAAGTGCAACAAACAGATTAGCTGTTTCATTGCTAAAAGCAAAATGTGAGACTGGAACTACATTCTGTTCTAAGTAATGTCTATTTACATTCCACATAATGCATGGAAACAAAGCACTGAAGTAAAGCTAAAGATAAAATGGCAAGATTTAACCGTAACCCTTCGCTGTATCAGCAGCTGGATGCTTGGATGAGGTTCAATGACTTCTTTTTTGCTTCTTGTAGGCTCCTCCTTCGACAAGAGCTCAACAACATGGGTGTCTCTGGCTCGCATTGCTGCCCTGTGCAACCGCGCTGTGTTCAAAGCAGGTCAGGAATCTTTGCCCATTCTGAAACGAGACGTAGCCGGTGACGCCTCAGAGTCAGCTCTACTGAAGTGTATCGAACTGTCCTGTGGCGCCGTCAAGGCCATGAGGGACAAGAATAAGAAAGTTGCAGAGATCCCGTTCAACTCCACTAACAAGTACCAGGTGAGTACCAAGTACTTGTTTGTGCAGAAAGAAAATATAATAAGCAATTACACACATTACCAGTTCATTTCAACATGAGCTGAATCAGGCAATTTGTAGTAAACCGGCTTAAACATGCAAAGAACTGCATACCAAATATTTATTCATACTAATAGTTCAATCCATTCCCATCAGCTCTCAATTCATGAAACTGAGGAGGAAAATGACAAGCATTACCTGCTGGTGATGAAGGGAGCCCCAGAGAGGATCCTTGACCGCTGCTCCACCATCATGGTGCAGGGCAAGGAGCAGCCGATGGACGATGAGATGAAGGAGGCTTTCCAGAATGCCTATCTGGAATTGGGAGGGCTGGGAGAGAGAGTGCTGGGTAAGGATGATCGGAAAACTAATTATTTCAAATGCCATGGAAAACAATTAGTGAAATACAATTTAGACTTTTCTTGCTCTCTGTGCTCAAACTGTACTAAATAAAATAAATTAATTGTGTGAGAATTTAACCATCCCTCTTCCTTCAGGGTTCTGCCACCTGTTTCTGCCTGAGGACAAGTACCCAAAAGGTTTTGCCTTCGACACCGATGACGTCAACTTCCAAACTGACAACCTTTGCTTCGTTGGCCTCATGTCCATGATTGACCCTCCCCGCGCTGCCGTGCCTGATGCTGTGGGCAAATGCCGCTCAGCTGGCATCAAGGTGGACACCTTTCTGTTCTGACAGTCTGTTATTTGTCTCTCATTCTCTAAAAATATGTGTCTTCTGTTTATGATCTTCTAATCTTATTTCTTCTTTTCTTCCTTTAGGTTATTATGGTGACTGGTGACCACCCAATCACAGCCAAGGCCATTGCTAAGGGTGTGGGTATCATCTCTGAGGGAAACGAGACAGTGGAAGACATTGCTGCACGCCTCAACATTCCTGTCAGCCAAGTGAACCCCAGGTAACATTTACTCCTGTGGCTGCATCATCACTGCTAAAGCTGTTTTGAGCCATAATACATAATACTGAAGAAAAGAAAAAATATACACACATATATATATATATATATATTTATAATTATATTTCTTTCTTTTTGGAATGCAGGGATGCAAAGGCCTGTGTGATCCATGGTACGGATCTAAAAGACCTCACACAGGACCAGATGGATGACATTTTGAGGAATCACACAGAGATTGTCTTTGCCAGAACCTCCCCACAGCAGAAGCTCATCATTGTTGAAGGTTGCCAGAGACAGGTACGGTTACTGCACTGCCACTGATTTACAGGTGAACAGAGATAAACAAAAGTATAATTAGTTTTTATCTCTGGGGCTGTAAAGTGAGTTTATGTGGCCTCGTCCTCTGTCAGGGTGCTATCGTGGCTGTGACTGGTGATGGTGTGAATGACTCTCCTGCCCTGAAGAAGGCTGACATTGGTGTTGCCATGGGAATCTCTGGCTCAGACGTATCCAAACAAGCTGCAGATATGATCCTGTTAGATGACAACTTTGCCTCCATCGTCACTGGAGTGGAAGAAGGTGAGGGACAAACAAAAGGTGGAAAGGTGGAGTGTGGCGAGGAATCTGGGCTACAAATGACAAAACAGACATAAAAGGTGTAGGAAAAGGTTCAGCTGAGTTTTAAAAAAGTACCATATTTGTTCGCGGTTGTCATGTTTGCAACAGGAACTCAGCAAAAGTGACACCACAACTGCTAGCACACGCAGTCATCATTTCTGCCTGTCGTGCACCTCTCAATATTTGATGCTCACAGCAGGACTAGTGGACTGAGATTCATATTGGAGACACAAGTGTACAAACAGTTTTGTCTTTACTGCAATTTCAGTTTTATATCAACACAGGAGAGAGGCCGATGTTGCAACAGCTTTAAAAGTGAGAGATTTTGGAGAAAACTTTGCTTCCTGTTTCAACATCTTCTAGTCACTTTTTATTTCTCATTGTCACCACCGGCCCTGCACGAGAAAACTGCAGCTCCTCAAGGACCAGTGTAATGGTTAAAGGACTGTAGTGATTTTCATGAAAAGAAGTTCAACAACTACTTAGATGGGCAAAGCACAGTTCACTCAAGCTTTGTTCGAGCATGTGGCATTTTGTTTGTTGTATTTATACACCACCTTTGTCTTTCCAGGACGTCTGATCTTTGACAACCTGAAGAAATCTATTGCGTACACTCTGACCAGCAACATCCCAGAAATCACCCCCTTCCTCTTTTTCATCTTGGTCAACATCCCCCTGCCTCTGGGTACCATCACAATCCTCTGCATCGACCTGGGAACTGACATGGTGAGAAAAAAGCTCAGGACAAAGACTCAAAGACGAGACGTGCTGTTCAGGCTATAAAAATAAGGAAGCACTGTGTGAAATAAGCTTTCTGAACAGTGCATTCATCACTCAAAACATTTTAACGTACACACAGTAAACCAGTAAAACCATGCTGGACACTTGAAGCTGTTAACTACATGCGCTCATGTCAGATGCATACCTGATTCATGCCTTTTATTTATTATAGCAGCCACGAGAACAGCTATTCAGTGTGGTCCCTTATGATCAGCATCGCTGTGAAGAGTAAAATATTAAACATGGAACAGAGGTGGAATTCAAGGTCATTTTAAATGGGACCTTTAGAGAACACTAGGTGGCAGTGTGGAACCACTATTTATAAGAAGCAGCTCTCACATTTTCCACCCTCTCAAAGAACAGAATGTATTAATACCAAACCCTAGATACAGAAAGACCAAGTTTTCATAAACGTTATAAAAACACACATCAAGAATATATAAGTAAAGTTACCAAGGAGTATCTCAAATAAGACAGAAGTGTCTCTTTTTCCTTTCTCCTCTTCCAGGTACCAGCCATCTCTCTTGCTTATGAAGTAGCAGAGAGCGACATCATGAAGCGACAGCCCAGGAACCCACTGAGGGACAAACTGGTCAATGAGAGACTCATCAGTATTGCCTATGGACAGATTGGTAGGTACATTTATTCTTTACAGTTTGTGGCATTTACTGTAAACAGTGTTCAGGCAGCTACATGGAAGTGGTTTGCACTCTACAGCACTCTCATTTAATTTAAATATCACTGTTCTTTTCCAACTGTCTAAAACGACAGATGGAAAATCAGTCTTTAATGACCATGTCGAGTCTACAGGATTTTACTGTGTCAAATAAAATGTATCATTTGATTAAGGGACTCTCTGTTTGTCTCTGTAGGTATGATCCAGGCTCTTGGGGGCTTCTTTGCCTATTTTGTCATCATGGCTGAAAATGGTTTCCTGCCATCTCTGCTTGTCGGCATTCGACTCAACTGGGACGATCGCTCCAACAATGACCTGGAGGACAGCTATGGACAGCAATGGGTATGAGTGAAATGTTATAATGTCAGTGTCTCTTGTTTCAGATATGTTCACTTATGTAGTGGAGCCACTGAGTGACTTGAATTTGTGACATTCAAACAAACCTTTTGTTTTTGTGCCATAATCTTTGAATGATTAATGTAAGTCTTAATTTAATACTGATGTAATAAAAGCTATTTATAAACAAATCTATTGTAGAAAGCAGACAGGAGATATTCTCTTTCTCATTTCCTGTGCAGACCTACGAACAACGTAAGATTGTGGAGTTTACTTGCCACACAGCCTTCTTTGTCAGTATTGTGGTGGTGCAGTGGGCAGATGTGATCATCTGCAAGACCAGGCGTAACTCTGTGTTCCAGCAGGGCATGAGGTAAGTACAGGTTATTGAAGAGAGCGTACGATAAAAAGAATTCCTTTTAAAAATGGTGGGCAAAAATAATCTAATTGATCTCAGGCTTTAAAAACCTAAGCAATTCTGATAAACCACATTAGATATTAATAGTGAACTTTTTGATTGTGTGTTGAATTTTGTAAGGTATGCAATTCTACCTTCTTCTTACAGTCAGTTTGTATGAATGAAATGACAAAACACAGTGACGACAGACATCTATTGCAAAGGCAAAGGCAAAGGTTTATTTTAAAGGGAAACATGTAGGAAAACTGTAGCTCAGTAGACACCATTACAATATACAGTCTACAAAGTAAATATATCTAGGCATAGTACTTATTTTTGATGGATCAGTTCTGCATTGCTGTATTAGTACTTGGAGAACACAACAATCTGAGTACTTTCAGAAGTATACAGGTCTTGTATCTAAAGAAAGGGCATCAGTTTCTTGTTTGATCGCTTTTTGGTTGTTGTTTTGGAAAAACAGAAAATTGATACTGAACATGAGAGAATGGATGAATGGATCACGACCATGATTCATCAATAAGATTTGATTTGGTTTTTGTATTTATTTTCCCCATAGCATCCACTAGGTGTCACTAGATAACCACATTTACCCATGTGCGCTGTCACATATGTTGCTCTTTTTCTTCCGTCCATCTTGTTTGGTCTTACACTGTGTGTCCTCTGCCCATGATGCTGTGTTCTGCAGGCAGCATTTGTAGGTCAGGCACACAAACTAATATAATGTTACTATAACTGTCGGCCTGCAGGGAGTTGCCTTTGAAGCTTTTTCTTTGATTCAGAAGTAGGTTGATGCCAGCAAAAAAACGGCTGCCAACTGTTCAGAAAACAGACAGTGTAGTGATCTGTTTTCTGAAGAACATCACTGACGAATGTCCGAGATTTTTGAGTAACGGGATACTTCTTTGCTTGGTGACTCTTCATCTACTTGTGTGTCTTTTGGCTCTTCGCATCTGTTTTTGCATTTATTTTTTTTATCCATACATGTGAGTGTTGTAATAGCCTCTCTTGTTTTGCATTTGTTTTCTTTCAGGAATAAGATTTTGATCTTTGGCCTGTTTGAGGAAACGGCTCTGGCTGCTTTCCTGTCCTACTGCCCTGGTATGGACTTGGCACTACGGATGTACCCACTCAAGTAAGTGGCATTTAATTAATAAAGAGAATCATCAAACAGCAGATCAAAACATCATCATAGTAACTATGGATGTTCAGTCCATAAAATGTATATTTTCAGGTAAGGAATTGCAAAAACAGTTTCTTTGTCCTGAATCTCAGCGGACTTAAACTTACCACTGTCTCTTTTGTCCCGTCCTGCCATGACACCCTATTCATTCAAATATTCTCACTCTGTCCTTTGTTCCCACTCGTTCCCTCACAGGCCCAGTTGGTGGTTCTGTGCGTTCCCATACAGTTTCCTCATCTTTGTTTACGATGAGATCCGAAAACTCATCCTGCGCCGAAACCCCGGAGGTGAGCTCGCACACAACCATATATATTTACTTGTTTAGTGGTAGGGTGGTGTCAGTGAACTGGAAAGTGGTGATATATTTTATAGGAGAAACAGAGGAGGCATAGTGTGGGTTGTGAACAGTAATATAACTTGATAAACTAGAGGTGTATCTATAAAATATTTTCCTTCAGTCCATTGACGGCTAACGTTTCTCTCTTTCTTGTGCTTCTTTCCCTCTTTGTCTCCATGCAGGCTGGGTGGAAAAAGAGACATACTATTAAATTATCAAAGCATCATTTACTTCTTGTCCCATTTTTCCCTGAATTCATCCCTTCTTCTCTATCTCCCTCTGACTTTCTCTTTCCTCCTTCCTTGCCTCCATCCATCTCTCCTCTCGGCATACTCGAAATGTACAAGAAAAAAATGTTTACTCCTCATCTTTGTTCCTCCATCTTCATTTCCTAAAGAAACAAAAAATCAAAATGCCAAGACGACAAGAGGACCAATGACAGAGGAGGAGAGGATGGGGAAGAGGGTGCATTTGTAAATCTTCCCTGTCCTTTCGGTCCCTCTGTCCCCCTTTTTTGTATCCAAAGCCTACACAGCAGTAGTCTGCCAGTAACACTGTTTGTGCCGATGCTTACTACACTGTTAGCTACAGCAAGTCTTCGTACATGTACTCAAATTACATCGCCGTGTGGAACCAAATAAAGAAAACATCTTGAGAATAAAGCAGAAAATCTGACTGCTCCACTGCAATCTCTCGGGCCAAGCAGCACAACAAAACGGCAGCTCCGGTCTAGACTACGACCTGGCAATTTGAGCGGGTGGGTGGCATCATTTTTGTTTCGTTTTTTATTTTTATTTTTATTTGTATTTATTTATTTATTTATTTATTTTCCCTGCCAGAGAAAAGCTGCCCAGATCCAGCTCAGTAATCACTGCCATTTCCTGCCATTCGCCTACCGCGACTTTCCTTGCCTTTTTTTCTCTCTCTATTTCTATTTACTCACTGCCAGTCTTTCACTGCCGTTCTCTCTTTCTCCTCCTCGCTTCCTTTCCTATCAATAAAGAATCGGTGTCACCATAAAACCAACCCACTGTCTCACTCACGCCCACAGCAGGGTGGAAAAAAGTTCACTTCCTCCGACTCCCCTGTCCATCCTCCCTTCCCAGTGTTGTTTTCTGTTTGTGTTATTGTTGTTTTCTAATAGACAGCTGGGTGTGTTTTTTTTTTTTTAACAAAACAAAGTTGTTCGTAAAAGTTTTACGTGTTTTTTGTTTTTTTTAAAGTTCGGAGTGAGTCTGAGAGCTGCTTGTTTTCATTCAGACATGACAAAGCACACTTTCTCTCCCTCTTCCTGTTCATCTCATCTTCATCTTTTCCTTTAACACGTGTGCCCTCCACCACCAACCTCACCCCCCTCCTGCCTGTCTATCTGTCCCTGTTTGTCTGTCTGTTTGTGAACACCGTGCAAACCCTCCGTCCTTGTAAACTTCCACCCACTTTCACCGCCTGCCTCCTCTTATTCTCCCACCCGTGACCGACCTACAACCTCCCAACCCCACCCAGCCCTACCCCCGTTGAAAAAAAAATTACAATCTTTCTGTGTCCTCGGAAAAAGAGATTTCTCTCAAGTTTCATTCTTAAATCAGTGGAATTCTGGAATAAGGCACTGTACCTTACACTGCGAAACAGCAGCAAAAAAAAAAGGAAATGAAATAAAACCGAAGGATCTCTCTTTTTTCAGCTTGGCCTCGACTTTGTTTTTGTGTGGAGTCTTGTCAGAAAATGGAAATAAATGCTGTGACCAACTTACTTTTGGCGGGAGTGTCAAGTAATCTGTTTGAACTTTAGCTTCTCACTGGCTCATGGGAAATTGCATATCTGTATACTGCATGCTGTTTAGTGCACAGAATTTGGGAAAAATGTTATGAATGCAGTTTGTAGACAATGAAGAATGCAGGACTGAAGGAGCTGAAGAAACTTCATAGTCAAGAAAGGTTTTATGTCCACGTGGCTGCTGAAATTAAAGATAATTTTGATAACAGAGACATTTCAAGACAGCTGCCAGTGGTGAGAATGACTTGCTGTCATATTGGCTCAACATGGGCGATGAAGATTGTGTTAGATGACCAAAAAGCTCCATAAGAGAAACTAATTGAATCTTTCTTTTAAATGCTTCAAAGTGCTATTTACAGATTCAACATGTTTCATATTCATCAGCTAAAGTGATAAATACATGGATGGTTTTACATAGCATTGCAGTAATCTGATAACTTGGTTATATCCTAGCAGCCACAACATTCCTGATAATTCAGTCTGTTAAGAACGTTTAAATTTTAATGCAAATATCATACTAGCTGTATGTTTGGTTGTTCACTGCACACACGAAGCTGCGCTGTGTTCAGACAGCCTCTTCTTGTAGTCGGTCTGAAGCTTTTTCAGCAGTGTTTGCAAACACTTCAGACCACAAAGGACAGCCAGCGAGGCGACACGTGACCCTGTCTTCAGCTCACCTGTTGCACTTCCTTGGATAACTTGGTGGGTACTACTGTTGCACATTGAAAACACCCTACAATGCTTCCTACTTTGGAGAAGCACTGACCCGATCATCTAACTGTCACATTATCATCATATTATTAAAGCAGAAAAAAGGTATGATAGCTTATATCCAAATGCTGGACATTACTCCAGCTTTCAACATAACAGCTTTATTCACTGCAATGAGGTAATGTTATTATGTGTCAGTGGTTTAATATTGCCTGTTTAAGTAACATTAAAACTAACAAAAGATGTTAGAACTGGCAAATGGAAGTTAGATGTAATATACTGCTGATAGTATCTGTTGCATAAACAAATTATTTTCCTAATATTGTCTTGTTTTTAATATACATAGAACTGTTTTAAATAAGTGAAAATGTTAGCCAGTTGTAAACTTCTATAAAATTTCTGGTTATTTCTGACATCAAAATTGTAGGTGCATGACCCAGAGACCCAGTTTAAGATTGCTGTTCCTTAAAATATTATCCCCAGGTCACCTCAGTGGGTGAGCAGTCGACCATATGCCTTATGGCCAGAGAGCAGTAGGCCCAGTAGTTCTGAGTCATGGCCCTTTGCTGCATGTCTTCCCCACTTTCCTGTCTATCTACACTTTCTCTATCCAATAACAGCTAAAAGGCCAAATATATATTTATATATATATATAAATAAATTAATGTGGTCTTCAATTAAGTAGGATTAAAAGCTAAGTCCTGGGTTTAAAAATACTTTAAAACCTTCTAAATTAACTAAATCTATCAACACAATTCTTGAAAAAATACTACCATGACACAATATTTGTATTTGGAAAAGATAGGAATTAAAGTTGAACTAATTTGGTGCTGCAGTGAGTTAAAAATAAGTATCAAACGTTAACAGCAGCACACGCAGCGCTAAAATGCTGACCCTGGAAGTTTTAGCTTTTGTAGAGGCTAATTTTATAATATCCTTCAGATATCTCAGCTGAAGGAATACCTTCCACAAAGAAATGCTGCTACAGGAATGAAGACCTAAAGAAATCTTTGCAGTAAAACTCAACAGAACCACAAGTCAAAACATTTAATATGCATAATACCAGGAGCTTAGCAATGTCTTTTTTGGCAGTAATTTAATTTAGCTAGGGGCTGAGTAGCAGGAAAATCAGCTGTTAGCAGGGAAATGCCAAATAATGGCACACACTAGTTTTACCTTTCACTGAGAATCTAAATATTGTAATGCAGGGGATTCTTAATATGTTCATTTATATAACAAGGATAACTACGAAAAACAATCAGGTTGTTAATTCTTACTCAGGAATTAACACCTTTAAGTAATGAACACTTGAACATCCTTTTTGGTTTTTTTATTTGCACTTATTTACACTTTATTATAATTTTTTTTAAATAACCACACTGTTTAGGTTAAAGGTTTGGTCGTCATCTACCTCTTTAATGAGCCTTTCTTTGTCTGTCCCATTGAAATAGGTTGATTTGCACACTGATTGCAGCAGTGGTTATTTAGAGAGCACAGAAAACAGCTTCTGACTGCGTGTTATGCTGCTTGTGTACTTGTGAACAGATGAGTCTCTTATGTGTGTGTGTGTATATATATCTGTGTCTGTACACACACACACACACACACACAAAGTGACTGAGTGCAATGGTGTTCGTGTTTCATGAATATTATTACAAGGCTCACAGAGCAAATGAGTGCTCCTGCCCACTTGACACACACCCTCTTGTAACCCAAGGATATAGGTCACCTCTTTTGTTAGTTTGTTTTCTGCTTCTTCCTCTGAGGATTTTCATCCAACCTGATACGTTATAGCCCTGATGCTCTCTAGCTACAGTTTAGCACCTGTTTACTCCTTGAAATGATACAATTTTTATGATTTATCACCGACATGAGTGATATTAATGTGTAATAAGTTTTGTCTCTGTTAAGCAGCTGGTCTTCATCCTAGATAATACTGACATAAAGTTTCCTGTTTTACAATAAAGGACTGATCAAATCAATACTGTACACTGCATCACGCTTCACTGCCAGCTCTGCAAACCTTTAAAGTTACCCGGTGTAGATAATGAAAAAAGATTATATTAACGGTGAAGAAATAAAAATCCCATCTTTGATCTGAACTGTCTCTATCATGATCATTACTGTATTCAAGCATTTGCTCAAAATTCTTCCTGAGTTTCCAAACTCTTATAAATCCAGAAAAGTGTCAGTCCCATCTCTGTCCTGTGGAGAGCTGTGTAGGTGAGGGTGTAATACCAAGTGCATGGTTGTCATGGAGCAAATGGAAAGATGTCTTGCATGTATCTGTGTGACTCAAGCAGCTTTGACAAAACAGCGGTAGTTAGTTTCTTAGAAATGGAACTGTTCTACACACAAGGGTAGGGGTTGGTGCTAGCTGCATAGCATGCTAACTTCAGTAGATATCTTTGCGACACAGTGCATACTCATCCATCATTTCAGATGCCCCTTTTTTTTGTAATTTAAACTTGCAACAGGGGGGTTCTGTAGCCAAACAGAAACTTCCAGCACAGAAAATGAAGCCAGTATGTCAGGTTCAAAAACTGCAGTTCCTGTAGTGGCCACTTGAGGCTCACTCCAAAAGCACCAGTCCCTATACTTCCATGTTAAAATGCCCAACTTTACAGCCATAAAAAAACTCTACAAACAGCGATATTTTTTTAAACGTATAAATAATACTCGAGTTAGGGGCATTAACAGTCTCAGCATTCAGTAAGCTGGAACCACTCTGTGTCGGCTAGGCATA